TTAAAGATAATAATAATTGATAAAACAGTTAATATTTATTATTTAACAGTTTGAAATCAATTTATAAGCAGATATTTTCAAATATTATAATCAATTGTTTAGGAAAAATAGTTATAAACTTATAATTATAGTTAAAATTTATTGCCTTAACAAAATCTTTGGTGGCAATAACCCTAACTAAGTTAAAAAGAAATTGCTTGGATATTATGTTCTTGACTCCACATGCAGGTATTATAACCCCCCAACTCCAAATATTTCCTTATAGTATGTTTGGTTTGAGAAAAATAGAGAGAAGGGGAGATGAATAAAAGGATGTAGTATCCTTCTGTTTTCCTCCATCTCCCTCCCCTCTCTTCCATTTGTTTGGATAAGTAAAAGAATTAAAAGAAAAAATAATGTAAATGATTTCCCTCTCCAATTTTTTTAACCAAAAAGAGGATTTTTCCCCCTTTCTTCCCTCAAACTAAATATACTACTAGTTCAACAAAAAAAAAAAATTATAGTGTGAAAAGGCTAAATGTTTTGTAACACCCTTCTCAAACTGAAGATAGTGGTGAAGTGACTAAATTGAGTTTGGAAAGAAGAATGCAAAAGCATCCAAGAAAATAAGCCTTGGTGAAAACTCCTACAGGTTGATCAATAGAGCCAATAAAAACCAATTGAACAAGTTCCAATGCAACATGGTGTTGAATAAAATGACAATCTATCTTGATGTGTTTTGTGCATTCATGAAAACCATATTATTATGAGCAATCTATATAGCACTTTGATTGTTTCAATATAGATCATTAGAGAATGGATGAGAATGGATGAGGAGCGTCCATATCCTCAAGAAGTCACCATAGTGAAAGAACTATACATAGTCTTAGTATTAGAGTAAGATAAACCAATTTTTTTTTCTTACTATGCCATGATATAAGAGAGTTACCAAGGAAAATATAATAACTAGTAAAAGATAGTAACTAGTAGCATATTTGAGATAAGTTGGATCACCAACCTAGCCAATCAACATCACAAAATGCAAGAAGCACAAGTTAGGAGAAAGCAAAAAAAATGAAGTACATGAGATAGTTTTTCCCTTAACATGGAGAATCAATGTTTTAAAAGCTAGATTGAAACTGTTTAGGGTTCGAATTAATCCTAAAATTGACTCAGGTTTTGATATTAACTTGGTAGTAGTCAAAACCCAATCAAATCTAATAAAACTAGGTCAACTAGAAAAGAGGGTTGTGAAAGAATTCTTTCTCACTTTGAGTAAAGTGAGTGGCAAGCCTACAAGTGTAACTAGTGTTTTTTTTTTTTTTTTTTTCAAATAACAATAACAAATAGTACTTAGGATTATAAAATAAGAAATATTTGAGTAGGAGAAATGTAAGAATATATAAAGACAAAGTAAGACAATGAGAAGAGAAGAGAGGACAAGGCATGGCAAATAAGAATTCTTTAGAAGTATGCTTCTATTCTTCCATTCCATCATATTCTTCATACAAAATTATAAACCTATATATAATAAAGATAGGATTATAATGATCATTTAATAGAACTACATGGACTTATGAATAGCATTAAGTGAAGTCATGAATGAAATATAGTTGAATTCTAAATGAAGCTAAGTGGAATATGGAAGATGAAAGGTGAGATTAGTTGAAACTTCCATTAAGTTATATATTTCATAGTATTTATTAATCATCTTTCTAACTATGAACTATAAAACTATATATTGTGTACATTCTTTGAATAAAATGTGATCATTTGCACCCTTCAATTATCACCATCCATTTCATTTGACATTCCCACTTTGATTATTGGCAAAATCCAATATTAAACTCCTCGATTTTTCTTATTTTCTCACATAAACCTTTAAAGGGAAAAAGTGACATGCAAGCCCTTAAACACTTGAATTTGAGTAAATTAGTCTTTGTGTTAATAGCAAAATCAAGTGTGGTCACGTAATTTAAACAATTGTTTGTTTTTTTGCTTTAGAGATAATTATTTTGTAGTTTGTGTTGTACAAGTAACACATTTTACAATCATTGATATAGGGGCACTTGGAATTAAGGGGCTTGTCTTTCATCAATATGTGACGCCTTGAATTCTAATTTGGGATGGAAGTATGAGTGTGAGGGCTTGTGTACTTTCATATGAAAAGTTGTTAGACTAGTAATAGGTTTCAATGTGAATTGTTTCACAATGGCGATAAGATATATAGCTTGCATCACTTTTCTAATATATTTAATATTATTAAAACTATTTTTATTCTTTTTTATCTAATAATCAAAATTATATATTGTAAAAACTTATGAAAAGTAAATGAATATTATTATATTATAAAAATTGTTAAATTGTTCAGTAAGTTTCTAATTGATACTCAATAAGCCTTTTGAAATCTTCAATTAATACATTTAAAAATTTTCAATAAGTACTAAATAAATACATAATAGACCTTTTTAAATCTTTATCAAATAAATACCTAATGAGGCGGTGGGATCCCGTGTCAAGGATGATACAAGCATTAAGGTGGAGAATGGAACTTGATAGCCCAAGGAGGAATTTATTGAATTTACACCCATGAAGGAGGACATTTGCTGGCTTGAAGGAAGAATGGTGGCCATGGTTAGGTCAGTAGCATCGATAACTAATATTCAAGAAAGGGTTGATGTGGATGGGGGGGGTGATTACCTTAGCTACATTGGGAGGAAGGCAAGTGCTATTAATGAAATGTGTAGCGAGTTATTTGAATGATTATATACAGCAAAATAAAGACTTGTTTGATTTATGGTTTGAGTTGATACTACCATGGCCATTGACGAATCAAGAAAGTAGTAGGTTGGTGTGGTTACGTATTTCTAGGGTTCCATTAAAAGCCTAGTGTGATAGATGCTTTGAAAGGATTGGTGGATTAGTGGGAGAAATGGTTTCAATCATGAAGACAAAACAAAATGAACGACTTTGTGTGATGGAAGAGTGTTAATTTTGTGTTTTGAAATAAGTAAAGTATCCAAAATTGTAAAATTGAAAGTGGATGAGCAGTTGTATAAGGTAGGTAGAGTTGCAAAAAGTGCACTTAGGTGTCACCTAGGCGCCATGTAGTCATTGGGCGATGGCTTTCTACATCGCATTGGCCTTTAGTTTGTGGTTCTATGCGGTTTGAACCACCTAAGTGAATTAAGCGGCTCAGGTGCTATTAGGCGTGCTTAATTGCACCTAATAATGTCTGGGCATTTTTTTTTTTTGTTTTTGCAAATTAATGAAACGGCATCATTTTCTTTGTCAAAGAAAAATATTATAAAAAAGACCTAAATTCCTATTTATACCCATTTCCATTTGCCTGCTCCTTGCCTTTCATTATGCCCTCTTCTTGCTTCCTTCTCTAAGACAGTGAGACCCTCCATTTTCCATTTCCAAATCCAAATCCATTTTGATTTATCTATGCATTTAAACACAAAACAACGCTCAAATGGTAATTTAGTTCCTTTTTTTTTCTCATTTTATCTTTCTTTTTTTCCCCATAGTGAAGTTGATCATGTTATAATTTTAGGGCTCCAATCCTTTGTAATTTTTTACCTCCAAATTGCTTTGTTAAGAAAATTTGAGTGCATCTTTGAGTTCCTAATTTGGGTTCAAGGTATGTTGATCTTATAAGTTCATAGAAAACTTTGAACTTTCATCTTCAAAACTGAAATTTTGTTTTATTATTGTATTATTGATTTCTTGTTAAAATTTGCATTCAACGGCAAATGTACAAGAACATTTCCTTTATAAAAGATTTTTAGTCAGTAGTCACACAATTCATACATGTAAATATTTGTTTGTAATTTGTGCTCTTATTGTAAATTGTAATTTTAGTAACATTTGGCTTTGTAATTTGAATATTTCTTTCTATATATTCCTTTGTTTTAGACTCAAACTTAGACTTGAAGTTGAATTTTTTATTTCTATCTATTTTGTCCAAAGTTTAATCCATATAATGCATACAAATCTTTCTTCGAATGCCTCAAATGTGAGTGCAACTGTAACTGCAACTGCAACTGCAACTGCAACTTCCTCTTCCTTTCCCTCTTCCTCTTTGAAGAGGAAATCAAATGATGTGGGATGGGATTATGGAGAACTCAGTGATTCAAAAGGTTTCAATGCTGTAAAATGCAAATTTTGCAGAAGTATATTCAAAGGTGGCATCTATAGATTAAATTGTCATCTTGCTCATTATGGAACCAATGTTAAGAAATGTCAGAAAGTTTCAAATGAAGCTAAGAAAAGATGTTGGGAAGCTTTGGCTTGGGTAAAGATAGCCAAAGATCAAAAAGCACAAGAATTAGCTGAAATAAGAGAAGTTGTTGTTAATTCTCTTAAAATGCAACAAGGGATGAAAATAGATATTGATGCTATTGATATACCTTTTCCACCCTAGCAAAGTAACTTAGGAAGCTTGGCCCATTAGATAAATTTAGTTTGAAAAACATGGATGTTAGTAAAATATTTGAAAAAGACTTAAAACAACAAACATTAGATGATTCCATTGCTATAGAAAGTATGAATGATGTTCATCCATATGTGGCACGATGGGTTTATCAAGCTGGCATCGCTTTCAATGCCATTGCACATCCAAGCTTCATTATTATGATGAAGGCAGTAGGTAATTATTGGAGAGGTTATCAGCCACCTAATCGATATCAATTAAGTGTGCCCTTCTTAAAGAAAGAAGTTGAAAGGACAAAAGAGTCACTAAAAAACCATGAAGAAGAGTGGAAAGAAACTGGATGTGCATTAATGACGGATGCTTGGATTGACAAGAAAAGTAGAAGCATCATGAACTTATGTGTAAACTCAAGGCCAAGAACAATTTTTCTTTCATCCAAGGAGGAATTTGAGGATGCACATATAGCTGACTATATAGCCAATTAAGTTAATAAGGGTATTGATGAGATTGGAGAAGAAAATGTTGTTTAAGTTGTCATTGATAACGCTGCAAACAATATAGTAATAGCAAGACTTGTTTTAGAAAAAAGGCCAAAACTGTTTTGGAGTTGTTGTGCTGCTCACATAATCAACTTGATACTTGAAGGAATTAGCAATAATGCTATCACAAGGGATAAGAATCTTATGATTTTCATCTATGCACATCATTGAACATTAGCATTGATGTGTAAGTATACATTAAAGGCAAACATAGTGAGGCCAGGAGCGACGAGATTTGAAACCTTATTGCTTACTTTGCAAAGCTTATATGAGAAAAAAGAGAAGTTAAGGCTTATGTTTACTTTGGATGAATGGAAAAAGTCCAAGCATTATAAATCTGCTAAGGGAATTCAAGCCAAAGAAAATGTGTTTAGTGTTTTATTTTGGAAAGATGTTAATATGTGCTTGAAGATTTTTGCTCCTTTAGCGAAGGTCAGTCTTTTTCCTTTCCTTTTTCAAATTTTCCTCTATTCTAATATCAAATTTGTTATTTTTTTTATCATCCATGTTAATAATATTTTTTCACCAGACATTTTTCACAATTAGTTAGAATTTGCTATTCTAATTTACTATATTTAATTTGTAATCTACAAACTTCTATAGGTTTTGCAACCAGTTGATGGGGATAGTAAACCATCCATGGGTTTCATTCTTGGAGAGTAGGAGAAGGCAAAAAGGGAAATACAAATAGTTTATAAGAACAATGAAAATGGATGCAAGCGTGTTTTGGACATCATTTATGAAAAGAGTAAAGATAAGCTTGATATATCCTTACATTAGACTGCATATTTGTTGACTCTATCATTTTTATAATGATCCAAGTATGAAGATGGATTCAAAGCTTCAATTAGCCACATTAGATTGCATTGAAAAGTTTTTTATGGATGATGAGGATGCCATTTATGAAGTTCAAAATAGTGAGTTGGCCAAATACAAGCTTTGTGTAGGTTTTTTTTCAAGAAAACGTGTAATTAATGGAACACAGGTTCCAATGGATAGTTTTGATCCAGGTAGTACATTATTAAATATTTAGTGCCTTTGTTCTTGCTTCTTAATGCTTATGTTTAATCAATTGAAGATTACTTTTAACTATTTGTCTATTTCTCGTAAATTGGTTAACTTTTAGTTACATGGTGGACAACTTGGGGAGAAAAAACTTCATATCTCTGCAAAATGGCAACAAGACTTTGTCCTTGACTTCTAGTGCTTTAAGATGTGAACAGAATTGGAGTTGCTTCGCAAGGGTAAGTGATTGTTTATTGTACTAATTTTATTTTACATAATTAGATTTTTAGTATCATATGAATATATGATACTAATATTTGTGCTTTTTTTCATTAATAGATACACACTAAGAAAAGGAATAGGCTTGAAGCTTCTAGATTGAATGATTTGAGTTTTTTTTCAATTCAATGCAAAACTATCCAACTAGAAAAAGAAGGCTAGTGAGAATGGAGATATATTACTTGCCAATGATGCCACTAATGCACAAGGATGGTTGGTAGAGAATAGTGATATTGGTGAGGAAGATGACTTATTTCCAAGAACAAATATTCATTGTATTGTGGTTATAGAAGCATCAAGGGAAGATTCTATTTTAGAGCCTAGAAGAAACACTATGTCTCATTTTACTCCTGCTCCTCCCTTAATGAGAGAGCTTAATGAAGAGTTAGATGAGTCTTCTGATGAGGAGGAACCGGGGTAGATGAAGATGTTGGATTTGCTGATAGTGATAAAGATAGGGTGCTCCAATTTCAAGGAGATGATGCAGAATTTTAGTATGATGATGACTAGTTGCAGTTGGATTTTAGTTCTATTTTTGTGTATGTTTTTGGATTTTAATTCAGCATAGTAAACAATAGTATTGTGCAGCAACTATATTTTAGTTTTTTGGCATTTGGATTTTAGTTCTTTTTTTTGTCTATAGATTTGGATTTTAATTTAGTACAATCATGCAAGAATGCAAATATGTTTCAAGTTTCAACTATGATTTTGTTTTTTGCATTTGGATTTAAAATTTTTAATTCTTTTACTGTTTATGACTTCATGGATTTGGATTTTGGATTTTAGTTTGGCAATGCAATGTAACTTTATTTTAGTTTTGTTTTTTGATTTTTGACTCTCATCCTGTTATAAAGAGGATGGTATTGTTTAAGGTTAGAACCACTAGACAATCAAGCCTTTCTTCCTAACCATGGGCAACCCATTTTACAAACTAAAACTTTATTGGGTTCTAACTATAAATTAGAAATAAATTTGTGCTCTGTGGTGCTCCCTGCTAGTGAAGAGATGTAGACAAATGTAGCCATCTATGGAATGTGGATTTTGCCAGTCTTCTAGAGCCTAAGAGGTAAAGTTCACTAACCCATCACTTGATTCTTATTTTTCTTCAGAAGTTCAATTTTTTGGTAAATATGTGTACAAATGTCAGAAATTGGTACTCCTATGCATAGGTGCTATGTGAGTTTTCCTGATTCCTTGTGTTCTTAAATTTTTTTTCCAGGTTATGGGACCAATGCTACACTATGTTAATGGAACTAGAATTGCAGTGATGAGAGATGAGGCAAACTAATCAAATGTTATACATGTACACAGCTCATGCATTGAATGGTATTTCATCTGTCATTATTCACTATCAGTTACTGTTTACTATTAGTTACTGTAGCAGTTAACAGAAAAGTTTGCAGTGTGAAAAATTTGTTAATTGAAAAACAAATTCTCACTTGAATAATAAGAAGAATATAAAAGATTTAGAGTATTTAAGCCTAGAAATGAGGTTATAAAGTTTTAATATAAGAAAAAATTAACTTAACTATTTGTTAAGGATTTAGTTGCATTTTAGTGATTTATACAATAGCTGATCTTTTTTTTATTGTATACTTGGCCTTCAATTAGAGTTAATTCCCATGCATGGGGTTGTGATTGTCAGTGTGAGGTTAAAGATGTAATGGCCTTCTATTTCCTAGAGATTAAATAATGATGTGCTTGGTTGCCCTAAAAGA